GCATAGAGACTGATTTTCCCCACGAATTAACCCAGGCAAGCGCTCGTCATAAACCCACAATGTAAGGACAGCGCTCCTGTAGTTCCAACTGAGGTAACTAAGACACGTGCAGGCTAACTTATCCAAATCCCTAACAGCATTTGGCAGATCTGAGATCTGAATTTAGACAATCTGGTTCCAGGAGGACTGTTGTCAAACCACCTGAAATCAATCATGAGAATTTAACTTAGGTGATGAGGCAATGTGTGAACTACAGAAAAGAAGGAGGGGTTCAAGATAGTGAAAAAAAAAAAAAAAAAAACATTGAACTGATATGGAAAGTCAGTGCTTAAAAAACGCATTATAGACCAAAGTTCTTCAGGTTAAAAGGAGGAACAGAGAAAACAACATAAAAAGCAATATGTTGGGGCTGGGAACATGGCTTGGTGGTGCACTGAGCAAGCATGAGGACCTGGGTTCACATCCCCAGAACTCATGTAAAAGCCAGGAACAAGAGCTTGCATCTGTAACTCCGAGGACTGGGGGTGGAGGAAGTGGGGAGTGGTGGGGCAGGGGAGGAGAGGATGGATTCTGGCTGAAGCAGTGAGCTCCAGTTCCGGTGAGAGCCCCTGTCTCAAAACCAAGGTCGAGAGTGACAACCAAAGACATTCACACCAACCTCGGGTCTGGGCACACGTGTACATGAGTGAACATACACACACAGATGTGTGCAGCACAGACACACAGACACACACATACACACACACACACACACACACACACACACACACAGAGCCGTCATTCTAACTGGAAAACAGGGAGGACACACAAACTTAACCGGAAGGTTTGTGCAGAGCGCCGTGTGAACGAGGCGGGAGGCAAGGGGCTAGAGTCCTTCACGGAAAGAGAAACCAGTGGGAAAACATAAGAAGAGAGCGTGTCACCAGGGCCACAGAGAAAGGATCTGACGCGGGAAGGTGCGGGGAAGCAGCTGAGGAAGTCACTGCTCCTGGGAAGAAGGGGCAGAGAAGGAAGATGCCCGTGCACGCGGCCTTGGAGTTTCAGTGTTGAGAGGGAGAAACGGGAGCGTTAGTGCAAGATCTCACGTAGCGTAAGAACTCTAAACTAGACCAGATGATTCGCGCTCAATCAAAGCACAAAACACAAAAGAAACCTCTACAGCAACTGCACTTCTCCCCAGGACTGAAGAGGGCGCTCTTAACCTAGCTAAGCTCATCAGCCGCCATTGAAGTCCTTGGTGATAGACAGGACCGGGCTCTGTTCAAAAACAAGGTTTTGCTCCCCTCCTTGCCTCTCCCCTCCCCACTTCAACCCTCTCGCAAGGTCCTCATGCTCCCAATTTACTCAGGAGATCTTGTCTTTTTCTACTTTCTACTTCCCATGTAGATTAGATCTATGTAAGTCTCTCAGTGTCCTCATTGTCTAAGTTCTCTGGGATTGTGTTTTGTAGGCTGGAAAAATGTAGAACTCAATAAAAATCAATTAAAAAAAAAAGAATGGAAGGGATTCTGTAAGGCCTTTGGTAAAGGAAAGAATATGATAAAATAAATTTAAATGTAGCAACTGTTTTCAATAACAAGAAAGCAAAAAGGGGAAATTAAAGTTAAATTTTGACACCAACAATCTAAGTAAACTTTAGCTACTTCACATTGCAAGAAAATAAACTTTCACATTCTGGTTTTTTTAAAAAAAAACAAAAAAAACAAAAAAAAACCACAAGGTTTTATAGCCAAAACCTTGCAGTTTGGACAAACTACCTTTAAAAAAAAAACAACAATAGGAGGGAAAAGAGTACACAATAAATAATCCCTTGAGGCTACGGAGACAACCTCTCCAGTCAGGAAACCAAAACTAAGAACAGAAATGGACATAAAGAAGGAAGGAAATGAAGCAGCAGTGACTCAACTCCAGAAATCAATGAAGGCGAGGGACGGGACGGCGTTGGGGATAAGAGCTGAATTTCTTGGTGTCTGTGGAAGAATAGACTGGAGTAAAATTTAATAAGAGATAGTAGAGATTTTAAAAGTAAAATGACATGTTTCTTTTTGAGACAGGGTCTGAGTGGGTAACCTGGCTATCCTGGAACTTGCTACGTAGACCAGGCTAGCCAACTCACAGAGATCCACCTGCATCTGCCTCTAAGAGCTGGGAGTAAAGGCCTGGCTTACAATGAACTTTTGTTTTTGTTTTGTTTTGTTTTGTTTTTAAAGCATGGAAGATCAAAACTGAAGTGGCTGAAATGAAGTACAGGCAAAAGGTTCAAGATCTGTATAACTAGGGTCTCCGAAGTGGGACGAAAAACACGGAGACAGAATTAATATTTAAAAATATCATTCAATATAATCTTACAAAAACCAAAACATACTTGAATATAAATATTGAAATGATACTCCAGGTACCTAAGAAAGCTGAGTCAACATAACCTCAAAACTTACCCAAATACAATGACTACATTTTATGGATAAAAGAAAACTCCGCAGGCTCTCCACTCAAATAAACAAAAAGACTGAGAGTCAAACTAAGCACTTCACAGTGAGATGCAAAAGTTTTACACTTCTGTAGTTTCATCCCCTGGAAAGAATGTCAGCTCCTACCTCTCTCGATGTTTCTAAATTGATATCAAGCTTATTCTAGAAGTAAACACATATGAACATGAACATACATCCCTGCTGAAGAGTGAGAGGACACGCATGTTCTTAAACATACATGATGTGTGTGACCTGAAGGAACTTGAAAGTATGTGAATTCCTTTCCTGACTGATGCAGACTCTGGGGTGACCATGGATATCCGTGCTCAAGCCCCAATGCTCAACATCACGAAGGTCAGTCCCATTGCTTCCAAGGGCTGAGGGTGACCACGTCCCGGCCACACCCATTCCACAAAGGCAAAGACAATCCCTCACTCCTTCAGCCTCAAGCAACAGTAAACACACGGCCTGACTGACAGGAAGCTACCGTTCCTCGGGGCATATTTCCTTCTGCACAGAGTTCCTGTGGGTTACAGGTCACCGAGCAAGCAAGATGCAGACTGTGGTATTTCATGTCACCCCAGCCTCCAAGAAGTAGGTGATAGGCTATCTGCCCACTGCCATTCCCCTGCTGTTCAGCCCAAGACGGGTCAGATAAGCCCATTACACCTAAACCTTTCCCTCTAATGGAACTTCAGGATAGAATCGTGGAGTTGCCCACAACAGTTGATATTTTGTCTATTAATCCTGCGCAGTCCCATGTGGAAAGAAAGATTGAGATTTGGTTTCTCAACGCAAAATGTGAATACCAGACACAGCCAAAGACGAGGGCCGTCTCAGCGCACAGTGTCGTCACCTCAGGGATGAAGGAACAGAGGAAGTGGGTATTTGACCATCAGAAAAAGCATATGATTGGGCCAATTTTAGCACACTAGCTTCTTGGACATGAACATATAGAACCTATTTTAGTTAGTCCTCCCTTCCTTCTTCCCTTTCCTTCTTCTGTCTCTGCCTGCGTGGACCTAGTAATTGCCCAGAAGTAGCTAAGTTGCATGTGGCTAAAACATGCACAAGCATATGGACTGGCAGAATCAGCAGGGCAGAGTTTGACTCGGAACTCTAGGGACAGAGCCTATGAACCCGTGCCTTAATGGCTCGCCTGGCAATCCCAAGCTTGCCAACTCCTGAGACGGCCCGTGAGTATGCTAATGTCTCAAAAACTGCAGTCTCCTAAGTACCAAGGCCAAACTACCCGCCCCCTGCCCACTAGGAACCAAAGGGAACCAGAAACAGAGGGGTCCTGAGAAGACAGGGATAGGCCCTCCATTCTGCTGCTTCCTTCAAAGGGGCGGCCTCTTTCCCTTGATGTCCAAAATATGATTATTAAACCCAAAGGATTAAAGCAATGGTGAGAGAGGCCTGACAATGTGGCTCAGTAGCAGAACACTTGCCTGGCTTGTACAAAGTCCTGCGTGGATGGGTTCTCTAGGAAAAGAAGAAGGGGGAAGGAGGGGCGGACGGAAAGGGAAAGACCCTGTGTCCCTCAGCGCTAGCCAGGAGCTGAGTGGTTAATGCCGCTAGCCTCTATGTGGCTCCCAAGAAAGTCCACAAAGGAAGAGTTTCGGAGGAGCCTGGGTGTCATCAGACTGCTACTCTGAGTCAGGTTGTTGGAAATAAGTTAATAAAAAAAAATCTAAGAGGCTAGTGAACATGAAGCAGATTTTAATATATCATTCTCAGAAAAGGCAAAATAAAATAAAATAATAAAAATTAAAAAAGGCCAAATCACTGATCCAGCCCACGACAGTGGTTTTTAAGATCCTTGAGAAATTTCTGTCCTCTTCTTCTATAGTCTGGAACTTGTATCCCCTCCAAACTAGGTCTCACAGACCTAGGACACAGAGCCTCACCCAAGGGACAATCTGGGGCTTGAGGCTGCTCCTCTCTTCTTTCCGGATCTTGGGTTCAGTCACACGGAACTCATCCAACTCTCAGAGGCCTGAGACAAACAGACTTTAGCCTCCAGCTAGCGGAGGGAAAGACCGAATGCTTCCGGGAACTCCTAAGCCCTCTAGCTTACCTCATATTGAAAATGGACCATAACAACCTATTGTTTAAATGTGTCCATGCTCCTGCATGACCCAACTGTGAGCCCTCTTGATTCTGCCAGTGTCCAACAAAGTGGGAAGATTTCTGTCTCCATGAAGATATTTCTGGTTATCTCTATCAATATCCTCAGAGCCAGAACCATTTTCAACTTGAGATGAGAGACAGACAGAGGCTTCCAGAATTCTCACACTAAGGCTGCCTGGAATTCCCCACTTGAAACAGCATCTCCTTGCCTGGTCTCTCTAGAAGCCAAAACGCTACACAAAGGAACCGAATGGCAAAATTTAAGCATCCTGAACCAAAGTGAAGCTCGCAGTTTGTCAGAACTAGAACACGGGGCTCTTGGCCCTGTCCTTCATGCTCCCCACATTGTACCATTCAGCTCTCAAGGGTACAACACAGAAGGCATCCGCCTGTGCCTACCTGTTGGTGCGGTTGTTATGCTTATTTGTGCCGAGTGTGGCTCGGTGGATCGCAGAAGGGTGATGTTTATTGTGTAATCGGTGGCCGGGTACAGCTCTAAACACACTTCCGGAGCTTGGTCTCTTGTTGTGAAGTTAAAGAAAGTTGCATGATAAAACTTCTCCAGATACCACCTCTGACCCAGAACCTCCACCTGTCACAAGATGGAAAGCGAGGGTTGCATTAGCTTCCTGTTGGCTTGCGGAGTTCTAGACTACAAGTCGAGAGGAGGCACAAAGACTTCCTTCCGAGGATCTTAGAATTATATTTAAGACACCAGCAAGCTAAACTGAGGACAACCTCTCCTACTGTACCTATCCTGTCCAGTAGGCGTAGGACTACGATTAAATTGCATACCCAACAACTGTTAGGAATAAACATATCTCAGATGATTAAGACGGCAGGCTATTCTAAAGTGATCCCTTGGTGCCCACTCAAGTGAAAGAGACTGTATTGAAGCTACTGGACAAAAATCCTTTCCACTTTTCTCATCACAGGGAATCCACAGACAAGCCCCATTGTGCAGGTACGTGAGCATTATGAGAACTACCCCAGTCTATGCTTTTACAGCAACAGAACAATGCCATTTCCCTTGCTCCTTCCTTCCCATTAGAGCTTGGGAAAGGCCGATGACCGTGGAGGCGGTACACATATTGCTGTCTGAATCATGCCATGCAAGTAACACTGGGTCACAAGGAAAACTCTTTAGTGACCATCCCAGAAAAACAGGACCAAACATCAGCAACCAGTAGGCTTTGTCTGGTGGATACTGTGAGTTTAATCACTCAGTTGAAGCTCATGTCATTGACTTTACCACCTTCCTTCGGCATTACGTCCAATCACTGAGCCTTTCTTACAGGTCATCCAAGACCCTGATAATTGGCTCATAAGATCCATCTCTTGACCAAGTTCTCCAATTCTCTTGGATCCTTCTCTTGTTATCCTTAGAGATAAACTATCAAAAATTGGCCTCAGAGTTCCTTGAGCTCCATGCTATGAATGTCTCCCACTCCATTCCAGCGAGCCACAGCCATGCTCCGGGGTCTAGACAACGTCACCAGCAGAGCTGCCCACAAGATCTCGCGATGCCCTATTCTTCTGGACCACTCTCTAATTCAAGTAATACAGTCATATAAGATATGAACAAAATGTATGTTCTCTTATGCAGTCAGCTTTCGAATGTGCACTTTCTCCCAGTGAATTTATCTATATTTCATGTATTACATAAATTGATCTTTGACGCATTAAAAGTTTAGTTTTTCTTTTCAATTTTATTCTTCAATCATCTTAGTGTAGGGTGTGTGTGTGTACCTGCATGTGGATGCCCGAGGCTGGCTGTCTTCCTTTATCACTCTGTACCTTACTTTTTGAGACAGAGCCTTACACTGAACCTTGAGCCCACAGATCCAGCCACCTCAGCTGGCCAACAGCCAAAGGGATCCCCCTGACTCTGCACACCTGCACCTAGCTCTTTAGGTGATGATGGGGTCCACACGCAGTTCCTCACGCTTGGGCAGCAAGGATTTTACCAACTGAGCCATTTCCCCAGTCCCTATAGTCACTTGTCTTCTCAACCAAGTCTCCGGCTACCTATAATAAGACTTTCAACACTAACATGAAAAACCATTTTAATCTTAGAATAAATAAACACTTTGGGTCCTTGAATATGTATGTCTCTAGCCCCAGGGCTCTTTCCAACATGGAAACTTAAATACTCACTTACATGCTTCACTCCAGTGGCTCCTCACAGGCACTGAGATGCAAAGCAGAGCAGGTAGGACTGCAGCCAGTCACTACTGGATCTTCACCTTCCCTCTTCCTACCTGCTCCTCTTTGCTTTTGATGTTAGCCACTGTGCTGTCCATGTACCCACAATGCCTTTCTTCACCCTTGCTTCAGCTAATTCCTGCTCATTTCCTATGATACAACATAGTTTTAGCTTCTTAAAAAATTACACTTGGCAGGAGAAGAAGTCTCAGCAGTTATGAGCCCTGGTTTTTTTAAGAGGACCTTGGTTCAAATTCCCAACACCCATATGGTGGGTCACAACCATGTGGAACTCCAGTCCCAGAGGATCCAACACTCCATGGGCATAAGGCACATACATGGTGCACATACATACATGCAGACAAAACATACACATGAAAATAAAACATAAATTATTTTTAAAAATTATACCTGGGAACATGCATGTGTAAAACACACACACACACACACACACACACACACACACACGGAGTCCCATTCCATTATTTATTGCATTTTTATCAAAGACTCATTGTACCAAATTACAGTTGCCTATTTATTTGCACATTCCTATTTGTTTGAACTGAAACTTCCAGGTCATACTATACGACATCCTCTTGCTAAATATTTATGGAATGAATAATTAATCTTAACTTTATTGCATGCTGCCAGAGTTGCTAGGCACTAAATGTGACACCAAAGTAAATTTGGATTCCTTCCTAAATTTGCTTATGATTTGAGTTTGGGTGTAAAAGAAAAAAAAACTACACTAAAGTAAAATGAAAGCCAGCGGCCACACAATGAGTGTCTTAAAAATGAATGCCCAATGTGTAGACTTAAAAGCAAAGTAAGATGTAAATAGTAAATGCATTAAAGTATACATGTTAAATCACAGGCAGGAGAATGATAGAACTATATCATTCTCTATATATATCATACATCTATATATAGTATAGAACCAACTATACAGCACCTTCTTTCAACTCAGCCCCTCCGCGTGGTCATCTAACTTGCACTCATCTCTAGAAATGGCCACCACAAAACAGTGCAGACAGTTCTCCCAGCAGGAGTCTTTAATAGTCTGGACCAGCACTCAGGAGGCAGAGGCAGGCAGATCTCTGTGAGTTCTAGGCCAGGCTACAGAGTGAGCTCCAGGACAGTCAGAGATACACAGAGAAACCCTGTCTCGGGAAAAAACAAAATTCTGAACCATCCATTGGAGATAGCTCACATTTTTTGTAAGCAGAGTCGTGTTTTTATGAAAGATGTTTTAATATAGACTTGATGCTAGCACACACCCAAAAGCATGGGCTGCAAAGAAAAGTCACAGTTCAGGGAAAAGATGTTTAATGATGATTTTAAGCTCAGGGGTTAAGAGCAAAAGAGATGCTCAGGGAAAGATGATGCATACCCAGTGTGGGAATGAATCACTCAGTTTTCCCAGGGTGGGAATAAATCTCTCAGTTATCCCAGGGTGGGAATAAATCACCCGATTTTCCCCGTGTGGGAATAAGTCACTCAAGTTTTTGAACGACAAATTCTATAACAGGTAAGAATAAGGGTTCACCTTACTTGATACATTTGTTCCGATCCATCTTTCGTAGAACGCCGGTTCAACTTCAAACACGTGTCCTTAAATACTGAAATACTGAGAATTCCACCATCTTCTAAGAGATCGTCTTCTAGAAGACAAGGGAGCACAGAAAAAGGTCAGATCCCTGAAGCTGAATGTGAGTGCTGCTGGGATTCTTTTCAGGGCCGGCAGGGTGTTAATACGAAGAGCATTCCATTCACGTTGGCATTACAGACTTAGACGCACTAGTTTGTTCTCGTTTGAATTTGTGTGTGTGTGTGTGTGTGTGTGTGTGTGTGTGTGTGTGTGTGTGTCTCAATTGCTCTCCATCTTATCCTTTGAGACAGGGTCTCCCACTGAATCTGGAGCCCCCTGATTCTGCCAGACCATCTGGGCAGCAAGCACCCAGGATCCTCCTGTCCCAGTCTTCCCAGTGCTAGGATTGTAGGTGAGCTCCACCTCTGGGCATCTTCTGTGGGGTCTGGGGAATCGAACTTGGACGCTCATGCTTACACAGCAAGTGCTTTAACAACTGAAAAATTGTTGAATTTCCCCAGTCCTTGTCCCTTTTCTGGTTTTTCATTTGTTCAGGGTTTTCTTTTGAAGATTTATTTATTTTATGAGTGTTTTGCCTGCACAGATGCCTCTATACCACATGCCCACTTGATGCCCTTCGAGGCCAGAGAGGGCATCAGATCTCTGGAAGTAGAGTTACAGAAGTTGTGAGCAGCCATGTGGGTGCTAGGAACCAAACCCAGGTCCTCAGCAAGAGCAACAAAAGCTCTTATCCACTGAGCCATCTCTCCAGCCCCCTTGTTTTGTTTTTGAGACAGGATCTCACTTTGGACTTGCTATGTAGCCCAGCCTGGCCTCTTCTCCTAATTCCTCTTCCTCAGCCTCAAGAACTGGAATTATGGGCATGCACCACTACACCCAGAAACACATCTATGCCTGAGTTGTAAGAACTCAGTGAGGTTCAGACGAGTTTCTTACGAACTTAAATTTTTCTCATTTGTGAAATTGACATACCAAGTTTGCTTTCTTACATCATGGGCAGTTGGGAGAAGTGTAGCGTAAAAAATAAAAACCCAGAGACTGATATTGGGGTTCAAGCTGAAGATCAGCAGAGCAAAGCAGCCAGCCACCAGAGAGACCTTGTACCTCTACCAGATCTTCAGAATGAAAGGGTGAGATCCTGTCTCCACAAATCCTCAGACTGCATATTCCACTGAGTCTCTGTCGCTTCCCCTTTATATTCCTCTCTCTGCCCAGTCATATCGCTCCTGTCTCCACCTCCCTGGTGCTGGGATTAAAGGTGTGAGCTACCATCACCTGGATCTCTTTCTGGATCAATCTTGGGTAGCCCAGGGTAGCCTTGAACTCACAGAGATCCCTTAGCCTCTGTCTCCTGGGATTAAAGGTGTGTGCCACCACTCCCTGGCCTCTAGTGGCTTAGTTTTGCCTTCTGACCTTTGGGCAAGCTTTATTTATTAGAATACATATAAAATGTCACTACCGAGAACCAAATGAAATACTGAAATATTGCCGCAAACTTCTAAAGCTGTGACCTCTGTAGCAGGTAGTTGTTCTTAGATGGACCAGGCAAAAATGTCCTCAACCATATCTGTTGGACAGACGTTTTCAGAAGGATGGGAATGGTGAGGGATTAAGAGCCTCCGGGCTGGTGCTTCCCAACAGAAAACGACCACAAAGAAGGCACGGCGGCAGAAGAGACGTGTTCTCACAGCAGAAGAGACGTGTTCTCACAGCAGAAGAGACGTGTTCTCACAGCAGAAGAGACACGTTCTCACAGAAGAAGAGACATGTTCTCATAGCAGAAGAGACATGTTCTCACAGCAGAAGAGACGTGTTCTCACAGCAGAAGAGACATGTTCTCACAGCAGACAGGGCTTTGCCAGCTACTGAGCTGTGTTCAGCTGAGGTGATTAAGAATCAGGGAGAAGGCTGGTTCTAACTATTATCTAGAAAAAGTCATTCCCTACCTCCTGCAGGTGCAACATTCCTATGATCCTTTATTTTCTTAAAGCAGCCAAAAAGAAGAGAGTCCACAGGATGAATCAAAGAGCTCACTTCAAGTCTAGGGGTAATTTCTAAGGAAAAGCAAATTTCCTAACAAACAAACCTTTACATTCTCCACCAGTGAAAAAGGGTTGTTTTTCTTTATATGGTGCAGGAGATCAAACTCCCAAGTTCACACGTGCAAACCATGCACTGTCCCCTGCGCTACATCTGCAGCCTCAATTAAAAGCTTAACCATCAGTTAGGGTGACTCTCTTTCACATTCACTTTCAATACAGAAGTCTCTCAGGGGAGTCCGTGTCATCTAAGAAGTACTTGTGGCAATGGCAAATTATTCCAGACAAAATTGGGATTGCCCAAAGTATTTCCAATTTTGCTGACACATGCGGCACAAGGCAATTAGCTGAGAGACAATACTCCTGACCATAACTGGGAAATGTGGGAGTGTGGGTCTAAGAATTTGAAGACCTGTCATAGTTATTTCGTCTTTGCAGTGTTTAAAGTTTTCACAAGGATGCCAGAGGGGGAAAGACAGCCACAGGATTTTTGAGGAGCTTCAAACGCATGCATGGATGAAATGTACAAAAGAAACAGCACATAAAGCCCACGACTGTACACAAACAAAACCCAAGCAGAAGTACTGCCTGCAGGTTCCCACGTAGCATAGCCATTACAGTCTGAATTCAGAGGAAGACAGTGCTAGGAACAAAGGCATCTGGCTTCTCCTTCCCACACCCACTCCTGACAGAAGCGACTGAGAATAACTAAAAATGGGTCAAAATTTGCATCTGGGTCGGAAGCAAAGGTTGGTTGCCATATGCAAGGTAGACGTACAAAGACATCTACGCTTAGCCCAGCATAAAAGAGACCAGGCTGTGGGAGACTCGGAGCGACGACTCAACCTGCCTTCCAGGCAAAGGAGCAAGGTCTCCAGATTTCAAAGGAAGGGCCAGAGAATTTGAGCCCGTAGACAGGTCACCGGACAAGTCAATGATGAATGTCCTCAGGGAGCCACGGTCCATTAGCCCCTAAACCTAACTGCACGTCAGAACCACAGACATTCTAAATGGTGTTGGCCTCTACGGAGTGTCTTAAAGTTCACCAGCCAATTCTCCCAGGCAAGGACTAACCAGGCCCTGTCCTGCTTAGCTTCTGAGATAGAGGAGATCAAGTACCTTCTGGGTGGTCTGGCTACAGACTCACCTGGCAGCCAGGGAAAGAAGTGTATGCACTGCCATTGCTAATGCCAGCGGCCCATCCTTAGCGCACAGGAGATCAGCAACGAGGAAGGATGTCCTAGTGGAGACCCCAGTCCCAGAGAGCTCTTGTGACAAAAACCTTGGGTTGATTGACAGGACAGCCTGACTGCTGCCTCAGTAGGGGCTGCTGCATCCTGAAGCCAAGCAGCATCCAGAGAGCCAGCGCTTGCTCGGCAGGTCAGGGAAACTGGAGGGGAGGCGTGGAGTCGGTGAACGACTGGACAGATGCACAGACACACACAGGGACGTGAGGGGGCAAAGCTTAATTCTTTGTTTTATTTTTCTCCTTCTGCTGCCCTACTGTTTTTCCTCTGTTCCGTTCTTCTCTCCTGTTGTCTCCCTCCTCCCCCTTTCTCCTTGTTCTTCTCATTCTTGTTCTCCTTCCTATTCTCCTTCTTCCCTGCTGTTCTCCTTCTACTTCTCCTAGTTTTTCCTCATCCCTTTTATACCTCCTAATACAAAGATGTAAAAGGAGATCACCCCGCAGCCACAAGTGAGATACTTTCCAAAAACAAATTAGATTCTTTGCACAGGGAGAAATCCCATTGTGATCACAAGGTAGATTTTTTTTTTCTTAGAAGCCCACAGGTGGTTAAACATTTTCTTTTTTATTAATTCTCCCACCATAACATCTTCACCCCAGAGCAATGATTCTTTATTACTGATTAACAAAGTCTGAAGCAAGCTAAGTATATTTCAGCCAGTCTCTTTAGTTCTGGCAGGCTGCTGTTTGTGGTTTCAGTGTGACAGATTCCTACAAAACTTTATTCAAGTGGTCTAGCCAACCATCTACTTTTTTGCTACACACAATGGCGTCATTTAGTTTCCTCTCACAATTTTCTTCTTTAAGGCACATCCCGAAACCTGTGATTAATTCTGTAAGCTAAATGACAGAGGACCCTGGGCCTAACCCTGGGTGCAGGGACATAACTGCTTTCTTTGATCATCAGCCTGTTTCCCCACAGGCAGAGTTCATGGTCTACAAGGCATGAAACGTTCTTGTTCTTAGTTTCCACCCGCAAATCTCACATCTAACAAAGGGGAAGGTAACTTACAGCCTAATTTTGTCGTTTTATTTATTTATTTATTTTGTATCTCTTATTGGAGCAATTGGCAGAGTAACCTAAACCATTTCCCTAATCATTTTTACTAACTGTTCTAACCACTCGTATCTTTTGGGCTAACTTAGAAAGTCCAGTTAAATCATAGATCTAACTAGTTATCATTGCTTGTATAAAAATCATCTTCATTTTGATCTGCAAGTAAATTGCCCAGTGAGGAGTGGGATTTTCCCCTGAAACGATCACTCTATACTGGACACAGTGGGGTCTATTCACACAGCAATCACAGTCATTGCGCCAAATACGGCAGGAACACGACAGTAACAAGCAAGAGAAAGTACAGCAGAAGCAGGGGACATTCTGGAAGCATCTCCCTGGGACTTTGCCTCTGCAGGGTTTATCACCATAGCTTTGCTATTCGGTGACTTAGGGTTTATCACCATAGCTTTGCTATTCGGTGACTTGAACTCCACAGGCTCCTCTGACAGGGCTCCCGACACAGTGCAGAGCTGGCCCATGGCTAACCATTTCACAGGTTAACGGAACAATGAGCTCAGAAATTAAACTCAGGGAGGTGAGCTTCCCTCACAGCGGCACTTCAAAGGAGGCCAGCCCACCCGACCTTCACGGGGAAGGGGGTGGCGAGTAAGGTCAGAGGGAATGACTTCTGTCCTCTGAGGAAGCATCAGTCTAGGCAGGGTTTTACCATCCCAGAAGTCATCTCAAAGCCTGTGAGGTGACGATTCTAT